CCCCCCCCCCCCCCCGGGGCTCGGGTTCCACGCCAGGATCCCCCTCCCCCATGCTGTCATCAGGGCCCAGCGCCGGCAGCCGGGGCTCGCGGACAGCACTTGGCAAAGCCGGTCAGCGGCGCCTGCTGAAGCGCCCCGAGCTCTGCTAACCAGACTCTGGAAACCTGGTTCCTTGCTGTGTGTCCGGTCTCCGCCATCTGGGCAGCGGGCTCCGGACCCGAGCCCCTGCGTTCGGGCTCTGGGTCAGGGCCCTGCGCCCTGCGCTCGGGGCGCTTAGCTTCCCGCTTCCTAAGGGAAGGGAGCTGCTCGGCCCAGGCACTGGCATCTGTGATCTGCAGTCAGGGCTCCATACCCCTGGTTCCAGGCTCCCAACGCTGGACTCTGTGCCTCAGCTGCGGGCTCTGCTCCCCTCGCAGTGGGCATTAACATCCCCTCAACCCCCGTAGTAGTGTCAGCCCTCTGGGGCCTTACAGAGAGGAGAGAGTTCCTCTCCCCCATTGGGCAAGTTCATAATGCCCTGGTCCACACCAGGGCCTTGCTCACCCCAGCTTCCTAATTTCAGAGCTTTCGGAGGGGACTGAGGATAGAGGCCGGCCTGGAGCTATTTTCCAAAGTGCTCCAGCCTGATCTTAAAGCATCATGCTGCTTCCCTCCAAAGACCCTTCCCCAGGAGGCCCACTCTATCAACAGGCACAACTCCCTGCCCCGGCTCAGCAGTGGGGATCAAGAAATTTAACTAAGCTGAGTCCCTGCCTCAGGAGCTCACAGTGCACTCGTAGAGGCTCTGGAGATGGTGGGTGCTCAGGTAAAAGACCCTATATGGTGTAGTGAGTGGGAACATACGGGAGGAAGTGACTTTGGACTAGGGAAGGCTTTGTAGAGGGGGCATGTGAGCTGATCTTAAAGCCTGAGAAGGTGGAGAGGGAAACAGGATGGGCAAAAGGCATGGAGATGTCTTTGAAACTGAGGACTGTGTTCCGGAATAAGTATCGAGTGGAAGAATGCAGGATTGTTGGGAGAAGAGTTGGAGGGATGCGGGAGAACCCATGGAGGGCCTTGGGTGCCTTGCTAAGGAGCCTGGATCTTATTCAGTGAGGTTAGGGGTTTTCAAACTAGGCTCCATGGAGCCTCCTGTTTCAGGGAGTCTTCATACATGTGAATCCAATTTATTTTCTTTCTTTTTCAAACTATGTTTTAAGCAATTTAAAATGTGTAGGGCTGGCCTGTTAGCTCACTTGGTAGAGCATGATGCTAATAACACCAAGGTCAGGGGTTTGGATCCCCGTACCAGCCAGCTGCCAAAATAAAAGTAATAAAACCCAACTCACTCAAATGTGTTAGATGGACATTTTAGCACCTTGGAGACCACTAACATATTAACTTGTGCTGCAGTTTATTTTTTTTTCGCAAACCTCAGAATAAAGCTTTTCCTGTGATCTGTTTAATAGAAGAGCATCTTGAGATTGCAAGGCCTGTAGTTTAAACCAAACCAAACAAAAAACCTCTTACTATTTGCAACCACTTATTGGTGTGAATCGGGACTTTCTCAACAATGCGCAAAAACAAACAGGAACAAATTGGCTGGATGCTGAAGCTTAAGTCTGCATTGGCATCCCTAACCCCTGGGTTTCAAATTTGTTGTCATCCAAACAACTGTGTTGTTTTCATTGGTTGACTTTATTTTTTTTTTTTTTTCCGTGTCCGGCAACGGATCGCAACCCTCAGTGTTGCCCCCGCACCGGACCGGGGACCGGCAACGGGATTGCAAGCCTCGGCGCTGCTCCCGCGCCTCGCTCAGCCAGTGAGCGGAGCGCCGGTCTGTATGTGGGATCCGAACCCTCGGACGGGAGCGCCGCCGCGCTTCCCAAGCGGCGCACTATCCAGTGCGCCACCGGGCCGGCCCCTCATTGGTTGACTTTATAATAAATGCATTCACATATATGTAATACATTTGAATTTATAAAATAAATGTAAACCAATTATACAGGGTAATACCTGGCTTACATATTGGGATTTTGCCCAAGAGTTCACTTGGATAAAAGGTCAACCTACTTTTTAAAAAATATGAAAACAATTATGGAGCTATTGCCGGATTTTTCAGCAGGAAATTAACTTGGTCCCATTTTCACTTTAGAAAGATCACTTCGGTCTGATGGATTGGAAAGGGTGAGTGTGGCAGCAGGCATACCAGAGAGAAGACTGGTCTCTGCCTGAAGAGGAAGCTGGACTAATATCCTGAGGGATGGAGAGGAGGGGACAGATGTTGGGGACTGGAGTCGTGAGTGCATCAGTGCTCAGAATCCACTTCCTCCCCAAAGCACCAAGGCACAGGGGAGCTCATGCCCAGTGGTCAGCCTCTGACCCTCACGGTTCTCTGGGAGGCAAGGAGCCTGCAGGCTTCACACCCCTATTCCTTCCTGCAGCAACCCCTCTTCCCACAAGCTATTTTGGGGTCATCAGGCCTCCCAGGCCCCATCAGGGCCTGGCCTGGACTCATTCTTATTCCCAGGGGCCTGAGTGAAATATTTAACCTCTGAAGGCCCATCGGAGACCCTCACCTCATGGGGTCAGAGGACTTCCTCAGTCCAGAGCTATCCTGTTCCTCTCTACTCTAGCAGCCCTTCTCTCTCTAAGTCCTTCTAGAAATAACAGCTTTTTGGCTATGCTCCTATCCTGAGCCCAATAGGCAGAATCACATTGGCCTAAATGGGATCTCCTCAGGCAGGCCAGGTGCAGAGAGCTACCTTCCATTGTTCCTGCATTCCTAACCCCCAGCCCAGAGTAAACAGCCTGTTTCTCAGCCTTAGTGGAGGGCAGAGAGAGATGGCAGGACCCTGGTTCTCTGGAGCGCAGAGCTCCCAGGCTGAACCCTTGACCTGGGATGAGAGTTATTCTGACCCAATTCCCAGACCGGAACTTGGTGTTCTTTCTGATTTCTGGGGGAACCGTCTACCTAGGTACACCCGACTACACATGACTGGGTGGCCTCCCTCTGAGGCTAGGCCCAGAAGGGTCTCTAAGTGCTTGCTTTCTCCCCAGTTCTAGCCAAGCCCTGTCACCTGCTCCATCAACTCCACCTGCAGCCTGGACGGGCTGTTCAGCTATCCCAGCACCTAGGTACACCCGACTACACATGACTGGGTGGCCTCCCTCTGAGGCTAGGCCCAGAAGGGTCTCTAAGTGCTTGCTTTCTCTCCCCAGTTCTAGCCAGGCCCTGTCACCTGCTCCATCAACTCCACCTGCAGCCTGGACGGGCTGTTCAGCTATCCCAGCTCCTGCCCTCTAGGCTCTTAGACTCCACCTTACTTGTACTATGTCAGAGGAGTCTGAGCAGGGAGGCAGGGCTCTGCCCTTGGGACCTCCATTCTGAGGGGAAAGAGAGCCTGCTTGCAGAAACCTCGGTCTGAGGGTACATTGCCCCTCATCATTTCTCCCAAATCTGCAAAGGGAGGGCTGGGGGAAGTGTGTCCAGGGAACTAGCTGAAGTAAAAGGGGTTGAGATCTTCTGGGAGCTATTGAGGTATATTAGGGAGACTGCTATATAGACAGAGGCCAGTCTAAAGGTCAGAAACTGGGGACCTCGCCTTGTCTCTGCCTTGACTCTGCTGTGTGACCTAGAGTAATACTCTGTCCCTCTCTCAGCCTATTTTCCCATCTGTGAGAGAGAAGTGGAGACGCTTAGGACCAAGGCAGCCAGGACGTTTTTCTTGCAATGGCCAGGGATGGGATGGGGTTTGGGTAGCTCAGCCAGAGAGAACCCAGAACTCGGCAGCCTGGCAGGGCTTGTGGGACAGAGAGTGAGGAACAAAGACCTTGGCTGGCTGCCTGGGCTAGAGCGGCCAGCTTGGGAACCTGCCTGAAGGGGCTAGGAGGGCAGCTGGCTCTCTGTCCTTGAGGGGATGATGGGCTTGTTCGTGGAGCAATAAGCCTAGGGGGTAGGGCAAGCTCAGCTTCTGTCTCAAAAGCCTACAGGCTTCCTGGGTTTATGAAAGTGGGTCTCCTCAGCCCCCAACCCTACTCTTACCATCCCTGGCCATTGCTCTATCACCCTTTTTCTTTAGGGCTTTTAACTTTATCTTCATTCTTTGAAGGCTCACAGCTGCTGAGGAGGTTAGGAGGTGCCCAGCCCAAGGACACACAGTGGTGATTAGCAACTTGAGGAGGGCACCTGTCCCACCCTGCCTTACACTGACCCTGCTGGCCACATACACCATCTTGGTTGGGGTTAAAAGCCAAAGTGCAAACTGAGGCCCACCACACGACCTTGGGGAACTCTTTGGTCTTCCTTTCCTATTTTAAGGTTCTAAAGCTGCACTAGCCACTAGCCAAATGTAGCTATTTAAGTTAATTAAAATTAAATGAAATTAAGAGTTCAGTTCCTCAGTCTCATTAGCCGCATTTCAAGTTGCTCCATAGCCACACAGACAGCATGGACTATGGAACATTTCCATTATCACCAAAAGTTCCATTAGTGCTTTTCCAAAGGAAGGCTCAGATCTTTGCCTTAGGGATGGATCATAAGCTCCATAGGGGCAGGAATCATGCCTGCATTATTTCCTGCTGTGTCCCCAGCACAGTGTCTGTCACATGGCAACCATTCAATGATGTCCACTGATTGGAGCCCAGGCTTGACACCAGAAAGAAGCAGTGGGGTTGAGTGCATGGCCCACAGGACTGTCAGGAGCAGGTCAGAATGTGAGGTCCATTCAGGAATCTTGACCACATTTTGTGCCCTTTTTTCCTCATCTTTGGGAATCATGATCCCAGGACTGCTCAGGTCAGAAATGTGGTGGGACTCTCTGGTTGTATGTGAGTCCCTTGGGGCACCTATGTTCTGATCCTCTCTGGGGATTATAAGGGATCCAGCTGCTTTTGGTGGTATCATGCTCCTCTCCCCATTCCTTGGAGCTGGTGACTTAGTCTGTTTGGGCTTCTATAACAAAGCACCATAAACTGGGAGACTTATAAACAACAGAAATTTATTTCTTACAGTTCCAGAGGCTGGAAATCGAAGATCAAGATGCTGGCAGATTCAGTGTCTGGTTCACAGAAGGCATGTTCTAGCTGTGTCATCACATAATGGAAGGGGCATGGCAGTTCTCTGGGGTCTCTTTTATAAGGGCACTAATCCCATTCATGAGGGCTCCACTCTCATGACCTAATCACCTCCCAAAAGTCTCCCCTCCAAATATCATCACATTGGGAATTTGGTTTCAACATATGAATTTTGGGCGGACACATACATCCAGACCAAAGCAATGGGGAAGGAGTTCTGAGGCCCTCTTGGGGCCCCTGAGAGAAGGCCCTCTGCAAAGCAGCACCTGCCTACTCTCCTGGGCTCATCTACACCCACCCCCACATGCACCACCTCTGTGAACACCCTGTACAGGAGCATTCCTCTTCATGCCTTCCCTCACCCCACTCCTCCTCTGGTGCTGCTCAAAGGCCTCCCTCCTGTGACAACTTCCTTTGAACCCCTGTCATCAAGACTTTGCTTTCACCTCTGTTCTATCACCCATTTCTGTCCCTTTTGCATCTGAGTTCTCTTTATCTATCTTTCTCCCCTCCCAGCCTGTGAACCCCAAGGGCAGGAACCAGGTCTCTACCAGGACCACTCCTGGGCAGAGCTCAGGTGCTTGGCACAAAGAACCAGTAAAAGTTTGTCAAATTTGCATGAACCAAAAAATGTTCTCTGAGCACCTATCAGCAGTCTGAACAGACTAGGGCACTGTGCTGGAGTTTCTGTTTCATGTTAAATTTGTCATTGCACATGCTATTTCTTATTGAAATACATTGAAATACATTAAAAGGTCAGAGGCATTAAAAGTTTACAGAACACTTCTCTGCGCTAGGCATAGTACTAAACACTTAAAAAAAAACAATAATGAACAAGACACTCATGGTTCCTGCTCTCTCATAACTTAAGCATGGTTCTTGCTTCCTAGAACCCTGCGTAGAAAAGAAATAATCAAATACACAATTAAATTTAATGTTAAATTTTACTATGAAGGAAATCCATAGGAGAGTTATAAATAGAGACTAAGAGTGAGGGAAGGCTTCTCAGAGGTGACATCTAGTTTGAGACTGGAAGATTGAGTGGAAGTTAGCTGGATAGAGCCAGGGAAAGAGTCTATGGGGCGAAGGGAACATCACGTGCAAAGGCTCAGAAAAAGAGAGGGAAGGTGTACACGGATGTGAGAATTGTTGGACTGAGCAAAGCTGGGGAATGGGAAGGTGAGAGTGGGATGAGAGGTCAGGCTGTGTCGTGAAGGGCTTCTTACTGCATACTAAAGGCTGCCGGCCTTATTCCGAGAAGAGTGGGCATGACTGAAGAGGTGGGCTGTGATCAGATCTGAACTGTAGAAAAATCCCCTGACAGCAGCCTGGATGACAGATTGGAGGAGGTGAGAGATGATGGTGGCTGTACTATGGTAGGAAGACAGAAAGAAGTGGATGGATTCTAGCAAGAGTTGACTGGTTTGGGTGATTAATGGGGGAAGGGAGTTGAGGAAGAGGGAGGAGTTGAGGTTGACCTCCCATCTTCTGGTTGGGTGGTGGATGGACAGTGCTGCTGAGCACTGAGATAAGGAAAATAGGGAGGGGATCAGGTTTGAAATGGAGAAAGTGGCAGGAATTCAGCCTTGGGCATGGTTTTTTTGTTCGTTTGTTTTGTTTTTTTTTTGTGGCTGGCTGGTACAGGGATCAAACGCAGAACCTTGGTGTTATTAACACCATGCTCTAACCAACCTTGTGCATGTTACGTTGAAGAGTTTGTTAGTCAATTGAGGCAGTTAGATATAGGTAGGTACTTCAAAAAGTTTGTGGAAAAATGGAATTTAAAAGATAATGTGAATCTTTCCATGATGATCTTTTTGAAAGTATCTTGTATGAGTCTGGAGCTCAGGAGACAGATCTGGGCTTGAGATTGATTTTCTTAAATAATTATCACGTTTCTAGGCACTATTCCATCCTAAGGGCATGTAGGTCTCGATTTATAAAGGAAACCACTTGGAGATCATCTCAAGCATCAGTCATACTTTGTCCACATACATTGTATTCATTTTTCTGTTGTGCCCAGATGGCCAACTAGATTGCAAGCTCCCCAAGGGCATGTTCCTCCATCAGATCATGTTCATAGGTAGGAGCCATTCCTCAGCTCCCACCTGGGTCCTGCATAGATGGGGTCCTGACCTAAGTCAACCCCTGCCCAGGCTGAGCCTCTTTAGGGAGAGACTGGGCCTGGGTCTCATCCATGTGCCCAGTTCTGGGAAGGGATTACACACGAGCACCTTCCTCAGGGGAGGTCAGAGTGACGGCCCCTCCTCCCGCATCTGTGCAGCCCAAGCCTCAGAATGCAGTCACAATTGCGGTGTCCTCCCGAGCCTTGTTCCGCATGGACGAGGAGCAGCGAATCTACACAGAGCAGGGCGTGGAGGAGTATGTGCGCTACCAGCTGGAACACGAGAACGAGCCCTTCAACCCCGGGCCAGCCTTCCCCTTCGTAAAGGTGAGGAGGCAGTTCCACCGCAGCCCGCACAGTGCCTGTGTGAGCATTAGAGAAAAGCACTCCCGTGGGTGTCTGAGTAAAGAAAAGGGGTCCCTTCTGGACAAATACAACCGCACAGGTGCACAGCTTGGCTCGGGCACAGAGCCTTTGTGGGAAGAAGAGGCTGTCTCACCCTCTGGACTGATGTACCAGGTAATCAACCTGAGCAGTAAGCAACCCGCACGATGGTAGAGAGTAGCATTAGGAGGAGCAAGTCCATGGCCACTGATCTCATCCCAAGCATGGCCCCTGACCTCCTCTCTCCTCCCCACATCGGATCCCTGGCCACCAGCTCCACGTACCAATCCCTGGGGGTCTGAGCTAGAAGGTGCCCTCTCTCTTTCAGGCTCTAGAGGCTGTGAACAGGCGGCTACGGGAGCTGTACCCTGATAGTGAGGACCTCTTCGACATCGTCCTCATGACCAACAACCATGCACAAGTGGGAGTCCGTCTCATCAACAGTATCAACCACTATGGTGAGCATGAGGGGTTTGGCCATGGGACACCCAGACAAACCCTCAGGGACAGGACCACACCTCTGCAGGGTGAGGTTGAACCAACTGGAACCTTAAGCCCAGTAATGTGCTGGTAAACTGGCTTTTTAGGGCTGGCCAATTAGCTCGGTTTGTTAGAGCGCAGTTATACACCAAGGTCAAGGGTTCGGGTCTGCCTACGACCAACCACCAAAAAACAAACACACACAAAGAAAATGAAACTGGTTCTTCTAAAAAAAATTAAAACAAACAAAACCCTGATTTGTAGCTTTGCTACTTTTCAGGGTGTAAATATTTCTACTATGGCTGATTTCAAGCTGCCAATGGTTGAACAATATAACTGGCTCACAAAATTCTTAAATGTTTAACCAGCAGCTGTCTGGTACAAGCCAGCTCCAGCCCACCGCTGCACAGGCCCCACTCCCTGCATGATTGGGCAGGGCACTTACTGCCTCTGCGCCTCAGTTTCTCTGTGCTGGGGCTAACAGGCCTCACAAGGTTGCTGAGAGAATCAGGTGCACTTGTCACAGTGGAAGGGCTTTGTGTCTTAGTCCAAATGCATGATTGAAAGTAATACACCCTCCAGAGCTAGCTTAAGCTGAAGAGAATAAATTCATATTAGGTTACAAGGGTGTCTCTCACAACCACGGGGCAGGAAGTAAAACTGAGCCTACAAAGGCCTGAATCCAAGTACTGGAAATCTCTCCTGGGCTCGTCTCTCTGGGCCCCATGAGCCCTTACCTGTGCTTCTCTAGCAAGTCAATCCTTTCTTTAATTAATTTTTTTTTTTCTGTCTGTCTCTCCCTTTCCCCAAAGTGGATTTCTCAGCTTTTCCTGAATCAGGAAATAAATCTGTATTTATAGGGTTACAAGGCCTTGTTTTAAGCAAACAAGAGAGTCCAGTTTGCAGTTTTTAATCCTAATTTTAAATTGCTGGGACCAGGGGTGATATTACAAATATTTAATCACCTGCATGACATAGGCTCTGAATACAGGACAGACACCACCTGTGGTACTGGAGCTGGGCCCTGAAGGACCCCTGCCGTGCCTGGCATTACCCCCTTCTGTTGTGGACTGTGGGGAGGAAGCGGTGCTAGGTGAGGGGCTCAGAGCAGCAGCCATTTATCACCCAGCACATATTTTACAACTGTTCAGCCATAGCGACTACTGCCTGTTGGCCCAGGCTGGGAGAGAATCTGATTGGCTCAGCTTGGGTCAGGTGTCTGCCCCCATCCAATCAGCTGTGGTCGCAAGGGCAGGATCACACAGTCATGGTGGGGGCACCCACTTTTTGTGCTGTGAGTCCCTGACAAGAGGATGTTTCTGGCAGCCAGGCAATCATTCCAGAGTTGTGACTGTCCCCTTTTCATGGATGAAGGAGGGAGGGGCTCAGAGGGAGAACACTGGCCTAAAATCACACAGAGAATGGCTCTGCAGCCCCCCCACCACTCAGAACCAAGATGACATGCGTCAGGCACAGAGGGACCATTCTGAGGCCCTGACGGTTGGCCCTGGCCTCACCTGGGTACTCTCCGCCTCCTCCCAGACCTGTTCATCGAGAGGTTCTGTATGACTGGTGGGAATAGCCCCATCTGCTACCTCAAGGCCTATCACACCAACCTCTACTTGTCAGCTGATGCGGAAAAAGTTCAGGAAGCCATCGATGAGGGTAAGTCAAAATGTGAAGAGTCCAGCAAAGGGGTCCCCCAGGTGGGAGGCCTGGTCCTAAAGCTCTGAGCAGGTGCTGGGGGTTGCCTTGGTAACTGGGAGGGGAGGCTGTGCAGTACTTTCTTTGATTACTATGACTTGTCCTATAAACTCTAAAAACGAGGCCCTACCTATTCTACTTTCCCGCCTCCTGCCCTACCGTGTTAGGGATGCTTTTGCTCAGTAGCATCACCCAGCCTTCTGTTTCCATGGAAACCCTCCTTACAGCCCAGAAAGCTACTCCCTTCTAAGATTCCTCCAGGTCAGTAGGAATCCTGTGTGACCATGGGTAGCTCTGGCCCTCTCTGGGCCAATGGGGAGAGGGATCTGTATCCAGTCCAGCCTAAGAGGTGGGGTCTGGGAATCAGCCAGCATGTCCAGCAGCTGAGCTGGCCGGTGCTAAGGTGAAATTAGGAAACCCAGCTGCAAGTACTGACAAAGAGATTTCTCCTCCATGCATCTCTTTCAAGGGGCAGTTTGGGGTGGTATCAACAGTCTGAGTCTTCCCACGCGGTGCATATCCTCTCGCACGTGGAAGAAGAAAAGCCCACAGAGGAGGAAGGACAGCTCAGGCTGAACACTAGTGCAGGTTTACCAATCAACAGTATATTCACTTTTCTCTTCCTCTTTCATGCCGTCTCCTGCCTGGAAGCCTGGTCTCTCTCCCCCTGATGCCTCACTCCCCTGTGCTACTTGGGAGCTCCAAGAGGCTTTCTTTAACCAGGAGCCAGAGGTCATTTCCCTAGACAGAGGTAACACGCTCTGGTTGGGGCCTCAGCACTGGCATGTAGGCACGCAGGCATGCCTCTGTGTGTCTGTAACTTGACCTCGGCTAGGGAGCAGGGGAGTGGTCAGGAGGGAGGCCCTCCTCAGGGCGGGGGTGGTTCTGGGTCATCTTGGCCCTAACACTGACAGAGCTGGGAAGGTGCCTGGTCTGATGCCCAGGGCTGGTCCTGCTTATAGCATCCTCAGGCTAGTGAAGTAGCTGTGAGACTAGCACTGCTCAGTCTTCCCGAAGCTCTGCCTAATCCCAGACTGTGATCCTAGATTTCCAAAAAGCAGGACTGAAGTGGCCTTTGGAGTGATGAAGGCTAAGGTGTGGACTCAGTGGCTGCCCAGGTCTCCAGCCTGCTAGCACTGGTTCTCTGTTGTCCAGTGCAGCTCTAGACTGGAGCTGAGGTCCCAAAAAGGCATCCTTGACCCCCTAAAGAAGCCTAGGGTTGTAGTCTGCACACAGACATTGCTAGTGCTATGCCCCAGGGCCACCCACGTGGTCTCATGGAACTCTGAATGACCAGGCTGCCCTGAGTAGGGCATATTTTGGTGCCATTGTGGCTGTAGACTGAGGGTGCCCATACCTACCCCATCCCAGACTGCAGCCTGGGATCTCAGCCCCAGATAGAGCTGCCCTTCATTTTACTTTGGTCCAAAGAAGAGTGGTTCGCCAGAATCAATAGTGAAGGAGGGACCGAGGCCATGCCAGAGTTAGGTCCCCTTCCCTGCCCCTCTTAGGTCTATACCAGGGGCCTGTGAGGAATCCCTGGCAGGGGAGCAGTGGCCTGGGGGACCCCTCCTTCCAGCCTTCCTTTCAGACTGATGTTCGTCTGGTCCACACCATCATGACCTTACTAGTATGGAAATTCTTTCATACTGGTTGGTAAGTAGCTCCTGCCCTAAGTCCTATGAGTGCCCTCTTGCCCCCGGGACTCCCCCAGACCTCTCCACAAAGCAGCCATTGAAGAGGTAACCTTGGCATTGGTGGGGGCCCTTAGAGCCCTGCTTCAGAGCTACAGCTACTGTCCATTCTTATTGCCCAGTGTCCATGCACTACCAGCTTTTAAGTGTTTTTAATATTAGCCTTCATTAGCCTTGCCCTGAGTCCTGGGTGAGGCAGGGGGCAAAGATAGTCTGAGATAGCCCTCTCCTGCCCCCAGGCAGAGGGACCCTATGGCCAAGCCTGAAGGTAGACAACGCTTGCCTCTCTCTGCCCAGGGATTGCAGCTGCCACCATCTTCAGCCCCAGCAAGGACATGGCTGTGTCTCAGAGTCAACTGCGTGTGGCCTTTGATGGGGATGCTGTCCTCTTCTCAGATGAGTCAGAGCGCATTGTCAAGGCCCATGGACTGGACCGATTCTTTGAGCATGAGAAGGCCCACGAGAACAAACCTTTGGCCCAGGTGCTCCACATAGTTCTGAAACCCCTGCATGGAACAAGGCAGCACCCCGGAACCTGCCCATGACCTGAACCCCCAACCCAGAATGAAACCCTGAGGTCTTCATCCATCTTTCCGTATTTCCAACTGCTTTGGAAATAAGCAGTTTTCTTCATCTGGTCCTTCGTTCACATGTCCTTCATTAAGCTTCATTGTCTGGGCACTGTAGAGAATAAATCCTTTCCCTGACCCTAGAGAGCTTAAGCATGACACCCTGAGCCACCTGTGTGTTGGATGGGCAGGGTTAATATTCAGCAGTTACACATTGGTCCAACTGTTCACAGCTGGAATCCATTCTTATTGGAGGTTGCCCATGCCATGGTTACTAAATATTTTTAATGTCCTCCCTGCTGATGGGCACAGAAGGCCACACTTACAGAGCTGCAGGACAGATACTCATGTACCTTGATGGGCACATGGATGGACATGCACAGTGACCATTGCCCTGGTATGGTTATTCTGACACAGGCCCAATCACAATAATACAGACCTCCAAAGTGACACAGGAAACTACAACCCCACTGATGCATGCAGTGGCCTGAGCAGGCATACCAGAACTAACTGAAAGATTTAGGGATCCAGAGAAGCTTTCCCACTCCAAATGACAAGGCACTAGTGCTTTATGGGGAGGGGCAAATGTTTGGGAGGAGAATGAGCTCACAGTGTTCCTTCCCTTCCCATAGGGCCCCTTAAAGGGCTTTCTGGAAGCGCTGGGTAGGCTGCAGAAGAAGTTCTACTCCAAGGGCCTGCGGCTGGAGTGCCCGATCCGCACCTACTTGGTGACAGCACGCAGTGCAGCCAGTTCTGGGGCCCGGGCTCTCAAGACCTTGCGCAGCTGGGGCCTGGAGACAGATGAGGCCTTGTTCTTAGCTGGAGCACCCAAGGGCCCCCTCCTCGAGAAGATCCGCCCACACATCTTCTTTGATGACCAGATGTTCCATGTGGCTGGGGCTCAGGAGATGGGCACTGTGGCCGCCCATGTGCCTTATGGTGTGGCACAGACACCCCGGAGGCCTGCACCTACAAAGCAGGCCCCATCTGCACAGTAGCTGAGCCACCAGCTTTTTGATCCACTTTACTCCACCGGGCTCCCTGTCATACTTCGACACCTCATCTAGTAGACCCTTCTAATTCCTTCTAGTTCTGCCCTTCTGCATGTCTGCCCTCATCCCTATGAGTGAGGTATTTGTAGGAAACTGTGCAGACTGGGCTGGCATTCTCACTGTCCTTCCTTTTGGGCAAACCCTGTGTCATGATCCTGACTAGGACATAAGACTGTACAGAATAGCTGGATCTTGTAGGAAACTGTGCAGACTGGGCTGGCATTCTCACTGTCCTTCGTTTTGGGCAAACCCTGTGTCATGATCCTGACTAGGACATAAGACTGTACAGAATAGCTGGATTTCAGGGGGAAGTTGATGGGACTGACAGTGGGAGGGAGGGTCAGAGAAGCCAGCATGCCTCAAAAGGGGCCTGGGATGAAAACTAGCTCAGTGTAGTGCAAAGAACTTTGAGAGATAGAGTGGGCCTGGCATCTAAACCGTGTCCTGGCATTAACTGCATGACTTTGAGTAAGTCTCTTCCCTTCATGGGCCTCAGTTTCCCCATCTTTTAGGTGGTTTTCAAACTCCCCTTTAGCCAAAGAAGCTTGGTTTTATGAGATTGCCCTCTTTGAAGGAAACATTCTGTGCCAGGGCTGCTGCTGGTATGTATGGCACCTTTGTGCAAGTTACAAAAGGACGCTCTCTCTAGGCAAATGAATTACACAAAGATGGCCCTTCCGCTGACCCAGACCCACAGTACACAGCCTGTTTAGCAAGACATACATGGGCTGGATTTCGGCCCCCATTTGCCCCAGAGACCTTTGTCAAATAGGCAAAACGCACAATCATACACAGCAACTCTATCTATAACTTTGCACATCTGGAAACCACTGGACAAGAGTACCTATCTGCTCACTGTGATTCTCTAACCTGAGCCATCATCAGAGGTCAGGGGTCAGGTGGAAGGTTTGTGGAAAGGAGCAAAGACAGTGAATTTAACCTGCATGCAAACTCTCCTCTAGCCAGCAGGGGGCACTGCAACCTCCTCCTGGGGAGGATCTTTGGTGCCTGCAGGCTCAGCATTTGCTTTTGCTTTTAGCCAAGTTCAGTTGTTCTTGCCTGCCAACCCCCTCATCTCCACTCTCACTCCCCCGATTATTGCATCCTGCTGTGCTGTTAAGCAGCTATGCAAGTGGGGAAAGAAGCAGAGCATCTGTGTCTACTGTTGTGGACCCAGAGGCAGGGGAAGAAAGCACAGCGGCTGAAGTCCATGCTGAGCCTCAGGGTAAGCTGCTACCTGGAGTGAAGTGAGAAGTGTCAGGAGGTCTGGTCTGATACAAAAAACCCAGAGGCAGGGGAAGAAAGCACAGCGGCTGAAGTCCATGCTGAGCCCCAGGGTAAGCTGCTACCTGGAGTGAAGTGAGAAGTGTCAGGAGGTCTGGTCTGATACAAAAACTAAGATGGTGGCTGCTTAGACAGGAAGGAGCTGAAATGTGCACTAGCAAAATTCTCCAGCTATGGGATGGTCAGTGGAAGGCCAGTCGGAGCTGCCTTTGGAGGTAATGAGCTCTCTGTTATTGAGATGCTGTGCAAGGGATCCCAGGGTGAGGTGCGCTCCCCCTAAGATGCACCGTGAATGCCCGTGAGATGAACCCTTGCATAAGCCCCTGCAGCTCCTTCTTCACTGCTTCCAGGGAGAACTCTCATGACTTGATGAGTCAGCCTCCTCTGCTGAGCAACCCTGGCTCTCCCGGAGGGAGGGTGGAAGCACCCATGGCTCGTCCCCAGGAAGATCAAGAAGGGGAGAGCAGACACAGTGTGTGGACTGACTGTCCAGCTCTGGGAAGAAACCTCATTGTAAGTGAGTACTGTGTGAAGAAAACCAAAGGCATCATCAGAGGGGGTGTGAGCCTGGAGATGTGGGGGCAGGAACAGGGGGAGAAGGGCATCCTGGGGCCTGGTCTTTGTCCTTTTGGGGACTCAGCTCAGGGTCTGAATGGGCATAGGTTCTGGATAGTGTGGGGCAAGGTAGTAGCTGCAGAAAGAAAGCTACTCAAGGAAGCTACTCTCCTTTTCTCAAGGAAGGAGAAAAAAGTGAGAAGACAGAGGTGGTTCTGGAAATGAGCAACAGTTTGGGCAGAAGAGATGTACTGGGCTAGGCTTTTGCTGTCACTGCCAGAGGCCTCCAGGAGGCTGGTCCTGGGGAGGAACGTCAAGGCTGTGCTGAGTGGCTGGGGAAGATACCCACCACTACTGCCTTGTCAGGGGGCACTTGCTTTATTGCACCCATAGGTGCATGTGATGAAGATGGCTTTGCACAAGGTTATTTCCATTGCACAGCCAGGATCCTTTTGCCAACAGAGGAGAGCTTGGGACAGAAGGCCTAGTTTGGACTTCCTTCTACTACCAGAGCTCCAAGCCTAGCCAGATATACTGTGAGACCTAAGAACAGCCTCAAGCAAATGGAAAGGAAATGATAGAGGGGGCTCAGCCTCAGAGTCGCCTTAGATATTGGCTGAACCACAGAAAGGCCCTCTGCGCCCCAGGGGTCAGAATCACCCCCTTGGAGGAGCCTCCATGGCTCACAGAGCTGTGGCTCTAAGAAACCTGCAAGGCTGGGCACAGCCAACGCTCACAGAATGGCATTAGGCTGCCTGACCAGAATGGACCTGTGCACTGTGAGGGGCAGCACCAGATGTCATCCAATTAAGATAAACTCCAGCGATTCTGGGACCTGTGAAATCCTGCCCCCAAGGCCTAGTGATCGACACCAGTGATTCTTCCAGGTCTGTGAGGAAGCAGGGAGATAGGAAGCTGGAAGCAGAAAAAGTTCAGTAAAAGCTGTGGGTTTGACTGGAACCACCTTTAATGGACACAGACAGCCTTGGACAATGGAGAGACACTAAGGGTCCGAATTCTATTATCGAAACCACAAATGAGCACCTCAGGCCTAGAAAAAGACTTTCAGTAGCTGGAATAAAAGGCCCAAGTCCCGGGGGCAAGCTTAGGCAGCAGCCAGACAGGCCTTCTGATTGTCTTAAATGGTAAGGAGGGGCCCAGGGCAAGGGACATTGTTTATTGTACCACCAAGAAATTAAAAAGCCCCATGAGCACGCAAGCCCCAGGCCCAACCAGGGGCTGCAGAATGGGGACAGAAGGGCCATAGCTTCTGAAAGCCTGGACCCCTTTAGCTGAAATCACTATTTTCCCAATAAGTCTTGCAGAACATGGGTCCCAGGAAGTGCTTGCTAGTGAAGTCCAAGGCCTAGTAGAACTGCCACTTTGGAAAAAAAACAGAAGCCCTGTTACTGAACAATGAGACTGCCAACATCATTGCCAAACAGCCCCTTCCCCTACCTGAGAGCCCAATCAGAGTAGTGGGAACATAGCAGAATATGCCAGAAAAAATAGAAGCCAGCAAGAAGTTTGAATCCAAGATGGATTCAGCATTATAACAATATTCAGTTGGCATGCACCAGTACAGCCAAACTGATGATTAAAATATTGAAACATCTACATACCAGTTGGTAAATAGTACTGTCCTGAGTCCCCTGAGTATCCCTCTGTAGCTTCAGCTGCCTTGGTTCCTCCACTGTGAATGCTCCACCCTCCCGCAATCCAGCCTCCAAAAGGCTGCATCAGCACTATGGCCAGTGTCCGCTCTGTTTTGTGGTGTCCTGGCCATGGTGGTTTAGGGAGATAAAGTAATTTTCCCAAAGCCACACAACTAGTAAGTGACAGCACTGGGACTTAGATTCCTGTCTGTCTGATGCAAGACCCAGGCTCTCAATCATTCTGCCATACTACTCATACATATGCGTAGACATGGCAAGGGAAGCTTCATTACCAAAGGAGTTTACTTGACAGTTAACATGTTGATTTCTTGCATGTTGAAATGCTGGAATACAGCTGAGTGGGTACATTTTTGTTATATAGCTAAAAATAAACTAAATAGCTAAAAATGAGCTGAATAGCTAAAAATAAACAGGAGCTAAATATTTGCAGACCCTCTGAAGCACTTTCAAATAACCCCAAGTTCTGTGGAACCCAGTTTGAGGATCCCTGTTTTGAGCTAATGCAGAGTCTGACAAACTATAGGCCCCTGGGCCAAATCTGACTCACTACCTGTTTTTGTTAAGAAACTTTTACTGGAACACAGCCAAGTGCATTTGTTTACATATGTTTGTGGCTGCTTTCTCACTATTGCAGTAGAATTGAATTGTTGCAACAAAGACTGCAAAGCCAAAAACGTGTGTCACCTGGCCCTCTACAGGAAAATGTCTGCTGACCCCTGGGCTAAGGCAAACATCCCCGGCTCACACCCTAGTGGGAGGAACCAGGTCACATCCACCTAAATATTTGTGGGCAGAGGTTGGCTCCACTGCTGAGGGGGAAGGACATGGGGACTCCATGACCACATGACCCTTGCAAGATTCCAAGTTTTGACTATTTTCAAGTGATCCATGGCCCATTGTAATTCACAATTTTGTTGATGCAGGAATTTGACTTGAGTGTGCCTCTCAAGCTTATGGGTGAGGGGACAGGGAGCAGCACCCCTGGCTAGAGAAGGGCCCAGCTGGCTGTCCAGCATCTGCTCAGCATGGCTTTGTGTTCCCAACATGTCCCAGCCTTCATGGGGACTCTTAGGCAGTGACAGGTGCTGGCAGGTGGACGGGCATTAGCTAAATACAAGTTTTGGATAAAGTGAAATGCTCAATGGATCAGATCTTACAGGTCATCCATAAGCTCTCTGTGAAAACAAGAACAAGGTCTTCATGAAGAGGGTCCCAGAGAGGGCTTTAGCCAGTTCCGAAGTTACTGATCAAGTGAGAGATAAAACTCCAGTAAAATTCACTCCAGTGAAGGGCAGTTTTCTTGTGGTATGAGGGTATGAGAAATGAACATGCATGCCCTCACGATGGAATTGTGGATCAGGAGTAATCAAGGACTCTGCAAATTTAGAGATTTACCAGCGTTCCAGGATCCATGGCAAGAATGACAAGTGTGGAAGATGGCCCATCTTCAGCCATCGTTGCTGTCGCTGTCCATCATGACACTCC